TTAATATATTGATTAGTTTACTAATTGATAATGTAACATAATTTAAGAATTTTTTAAAATTTATAATGTAATTAATGACTGAGATTAATAATAATGTTATAAGCAGTGTTGATACATTAGTTAGTATACTAATTGGTACGTGTAGTACCACCGTAAACTAAAAGAAAGTGATGCAATCAAGAAATAAGGATTGGATTGGATCCAAACTGTCACAATAAATTACAAGAGGCTCTATTTACACACCATTTTTCTTCTCAAGGTACACTATTAATTAATTTAGGGTGATTCTACTCACACCACTCTTTTACCTCCTTACACCCTTCATCTCATTACACTACTTAAAAAAAATTAAATTCTCATTACACCTAATATATTACCAAAACAAACCATATGATAAAAAAACTCTTCAAAACCCATCTCTTTACACCAATACTTTGTGCTGGGCCTGTTCGGTAATACAATGCTAAACAATTTGAATTACTCTAGTTCTATGTTACCGGATAAAATTTTGTTTCCCAGAATTATGTTACCATTCAATTGGATAATTTCAGTTCGCTTCCCAACAAAACCAGTAGAGTCCACATTGAAGTGCTTGTTTGGTCACACAATGCGAAACAATTTACAAAAATTCAGTGATATAACGCTGGAATAAATTGTTTGTTCTAACCTTTTGTTACTATGCATTTACAGAGCCACTTCCTTCCAAATAATGTAGTAATAATTTGTGCTGGGCCTGTTCGATAATAAAATGCTAGTGAATTTTAATTACTCCAATGTTGTGTTGCTGGAAAAAATAGATTTGTCTAGAGTTCCGTTGCTATACATTTATAGAGTCACTTTGTTCCAAATGATAATTTGGGCTTGTTTTGTAATTTGATACCAGACTTATATTTTTTGTTCGGTAATTTGATATCAGACTTATATTTTTTGTTCAGTAATTTACCGGAAATGTATCTTTTATTCGGCAATTTGACACCAGATTTATATTTTTTTATTCGGCACTGTGATGCCGGACTATGTTATTTTGTTCGATTTCAACACATCGAACAAAAGTCGCAGACCAAGCCAGAAAATCGAAACAAAAACCTACCAAACTAATAAAAAAACTCACAATTTCACTTTTTTGATGGTTTTTCACCACTGTTTCTTCATCCATTGCTTTTTTTGATGATCAAAACATTATGATTATCACTTTTTCAAAAGAGATATGTGAGAGAAAAGAAAAGTTGAGAAAGGAAAAATAGGGATTGAAGATCAAGGGGTGTAAGGAGATAATCAAATATATTTAATTTTAGTGTTTTGTCCTTTTAAATAATTTCACGCATGGATAAATTTGGAAGAAAAAATAATCTCATATGGAGGGTGTAAGGAGGTAAAAGAGTGGTGTAAGTAGAATCACCCATTAATTTATTTTTTATTACAATTTTAACCTTAGGTGAAATGACTACAAAGGACAAACTATAATACATACTATTTGTATAATTACCATAAAGGACCGGACAAACTACTCTTGTTCGAAAGAAATGGACCGGACAAACTACTCTTGTTCGACAGAAATGAACCGGGCAAACTACTCTTGTTCGAAAGTCAAATGTCGAACTCTATATTGTTCGGCAGAAATTGACCGAACATATGCTTGGGGTTCGAAATTCCAGTGTCGAACGGTTCAGAAACTCAATCATGCGAATACAAATTTCATGACAATGGAAAAAACTACCTAAGACCCTAAAATTTGAGCCAAATGAGAACTCACTTACTGTGTCTCCAATGTGAGTTGTTTCCAACTGTGTTGAGCACCATCGATGACGTCTTTGATGAGGAAAAAAATGTATTCAGCAAATGAGTCTTCACCGTTTGAACAGAGAATGGAAGGGGAGATGGAATATCGTAGGTGGGTGAGGTGTATGAGTGAGGGTAGAGATAGAAGATTGTGGGTAGATTTTGAATGGGGTGTGTAAGTGAGTGAGGGTAAAGGTGTAAGGTTATGGTGTGTATTAAGCAAAATATTAATTTATTAAATTATTATAGGTGTGCCTTAAGTAATGGTTTGCCTTGAGATAAATGTAGTGTGTGAATAGAAGCACTCGTAAATTACACTTTTTCTAAAGACACTTACCAATCAGTCCTATTAACTGGATTTATTTACTTACAGATCCTAACTGATAAATTTATCACTATAAATTTATTCATAAAACAAAAAGACTGATAAATTAATTTATCACTATAAAATTATTCATAAAAACAAGAGACTGATAAGTTTATCACTTGATAAATTTATCAATAGAACTTAATGGGTAATAAGTCTCAAATGTAAGACCTATTGATAATTTCTCTTTTTTCTAAAGGTGCAAAGTGCAAATAATACACATTTGATTTTTCAAGGAAAAAATATTAGTAAAGGACAAGCCCGTCAACACCAGAAAGCTTATGATTTAATTCCTCCGTACCCAATAAAAATAAAAATAAAAACTTTGGAGTGTAATTAATTTAAAAAATAAAATAGAAAAAAATATGGATGTATCTTGTTTTTCTCACAAAAGCATCAGGAAATCGTATAAATTTTTCTTATGATCAATAATTTCAATATAAATCATTAAATAGATAGAAAATGAAAATCACATTTAAATAGATAGTAAACAATTTGTTTAAAATATTTTGAAATACATAATCATACTGAAAATTGATGTTCTCATGAGTTCTCAACTTTTTTTTACCCAATTTTGTTGTGATGTTAAGATAATATATATATATATATATATGTGATGCAACTTTTTTTTTTGAATATTTTAAAACAATTAATTTTCACTTAGGATTATGTATATTAAAATAGGAATTTTTAATGGAAAATCTTATATATAGAACTTCTACTCCCTTTAGTCCCAAACATGTTTTACAAACTCAAAAGGTCTCATAGCTATTCAAATGTGGCATTAAAAATAGTAACCAAAAATAATTTTGGAAGAAAATCAACACAGTTAGAGATACTTTCCCAATTTGAATCAAAATCTATATTTTAGGAAAAAATCACATAATTAGAAGAAAAAAAAAATGTTAGGAATACTAGTGTGTTTGGTTTGAGTTTTTTGGATTAAGTTTTTTGAAAATCGAGTTTTTTAATTTTTGTGTTTTTTTGTTTTTAGTGAATATTTTTAAAATTTTAATTTTTTTTTTACTTTTTTAGATGCACCTTACTTAGATATATCCAAAAAATAAAAAATTTGTGAAAAAATATTTTAAAAAATTAATAAATCAATAAAAAATGTACTGAATTCTCATATTTTTTTTGTATTTTTGGTATTTAGTGAATTTTTAAAAGGTTTTTTTCAAAAAAAAATTACTTTGTAGGTATATTTATGTTAGATATGTCTAAAAATTAAAAAAAATACTTAAAATATTAAAAAAATCAATAAAATCAAAAAAAATACAGAAAATAAGAAAGTAAAATTTTTTGAAAAGTGTTTTTGAAAAATGATAACCAAGCAAGGTGAATAATAACACACTCACAAGTTAATGTGGGTTCCCTCAAAACTTGTAAGTGTGTTAATAAGATTGTTAGTAAATATATAAGTATCCCTAGTGTTATTGTAATTAGAATAATACTTATCTTATTTGACTCTTTCTCCCTGCGTTTATTATAATAATAATAATAATAATAATAATAATATGAATTTCTGGTAAATGTAAAAGTTGTAACTATGAATATTCACAATTGAATAAAGTTGTGTGAATTTGTGAAAGATAAAAATTATAAATGTGAATTTCTATACTCAAAACTGTGATAAAAAAATTGCTATTACGGAACTTCATACTTTTAATTAATAAACACTATGACATCTTTAAATTATTCAATAAATAATGTGAATATTCACACTTTTTTATATTAAAATTACAAAAAGCATCTAATAAAATGTGTGAATATTTCTATTTTTTATTATGAAAATGCAAAAATATTCAACCAATAATCGTGAACTTTAACATTTTTTTTACAACATGAAAATACAAAAAGCACCAATGAAAAAAGGCAAGACCCTAGATGTGCAATGCACACAATATGCAACCCTACATAAAATTACATAAGTTTTCACGAATTTATATAAGTAGTCTCACAAAAATACGTAAGTTTAACACAAATGCTTATAATCACATAAGTTTTCATAAACTTATGTAAATTTGTATTCAACTTATGCATTTTTGTGTGATCACTTATGTAAATTCGTGACAACTTACGTAATTTTATGTGGAGTTGCACATGGTGTGTATTACACACCAGAACATTACTAAGGAGGCCCAAAGGATTTTGATTGAGATGTTTTGAGTTATGTTTGGTTTGATTTTCAAAACATAATTTTAAAAATTAATTTAGTAGGAAAAATAAAAAATGAAAAAATCAATTTTTAAATGATTTTCTCTTATTTTTTGGGTTAAAATAATTTTTAAAAATTTTAAAAAATATATTTATTTTTATCAAACTAGTTTACAACTTTTTGAAAAAATTTCAGATTTCCAAAAACTAAACTAAACACATTCTCCATTTTTCATAAAAAGGCAATTGCTTTAGTCTTGTACATTGGATGAAACCCCACTCTTTCTTAAATTAGGTGCTCAGGCCATAAATTCAATTTTTAAATTTATTTAGTAATACCTCTAGGCATTAGCCTTTTAAGACCATAAAGGACATGCATTTTACAGGTAGTTATTTGTTCAAATCGTTTACACCTTCAAATAGCTATGTGTTCAATCATTTATAGTGCTAAACACTTTAACATATCACAATTTTATGCTCGGTAGTTTGTTTTGGACATTTTTTTTTATACCATGTATTTTTTCGAGATTAATCCATTCAAAATTACCGAAGCTAGTTTCAAGCACTTTTATTCTAAAAAATGCTATTTCCCTATTTTGATTAACCAAAAAATCAATCTATTCGCCCCCAAATTTGAACCTATTTAAAGATTTATGAACCGAAATATATTGAAGCTAAGGGAAAGATGAAGAAAGGGGATAGAGTTTGTGTAGTGACCCGGGTCGAACCCGATCCTTTTTACCTTTCCATTTGGATTGTGTTTGTTTTGGGTTGACTTTCACCTTGTCTTGTTAAGTTGTGGCTTTAGAACACCTTGGGTTGTCTTTAGAAAATCAAAATAGAAATCTGCCTGAAGTCTGTTAACGCTCATGGTCATGGGAATTGTGCCCGTAACCAAAAATCACTACCAATACTTTGTTTGCAGAATTCCCTGGTGCTCGCAAGCTTGCCCGCGACTATGTCAATTGCACCCGCGATGGTCCTTTTATTTAAGACATTAGTTTGCGTGAACCTTTTTTTTTTTTTTCCTGCTTTTCTCTCTCTTATTCTCTCTCTTTTCGCCATAACTGAGCTTTCAAGCTCTTTAACCTTTGGTTTCATCTACCTAGGGTCAAAATCTCACTCTAGTTCTTTATACCAAAATGTAGAGCTCGATGAGAGCTTTCTTTTGAGCTGATTAGATCGTGATTTCATCGATGTCGATTTTTTGGTCTTTTTCTCTTCGCTTTAAGAGGTAAGGATTTCCTTGATTCTTTTCAATATACTCTCATAGATAGATATGTGGTGCCTTCTATTGCATGAAAACTTAATTTTTAAAAGAGATTTTCGAAATGCATGTTAGTGGAAGTTAGGGTTTTGAATTGAGAAGTTAAACTTCATGTTTTATCATTAATTATGAGAACTCTATGCTAATGGAACATGTTTAAGAAGAGTAATGTGAAAAGCTCTAAATTTTATTTAATATTATGAGAATTGTGAGAGACAAGATGAGATGAGATGATGGCTCCATAATTGTTAAATAATATTGATCATTGTAAATTGGGAATGTGATATGAAAGAGAGGAAAACTGAATGAGTGTCATGGGTTTAATGTTTATGATGAAATTGGTAGTGGTTGAATTCATCAAATGAGTTATGGGACTTAAGTAATAATGTGATTATTAATGAAAATCTTGACTTGGTTATTGTAAATGGAGTTGTGATTTATTATTATGAGATTTTATGTTATTTACTGCTGAGAGATTTTTTCCTTGGCCATCAGTGGAGGATGGTATTTGTTATTGTTGTGTAGATTGTTAGTGTTATATGTGATTGATTTAATTTGTGTAATTTGTATCAACATGGAATGTGATGAGATGGATGAGGAAAGTGCTATATAGATGATCCATTTCCTTTCGATTCGCACTTGATAAAGGGTGGCGCATTGACATAGGTTCTATTTTCTTTCAGTTTGCACTTGGTAAAGCGTGGGTTGAGATTCCGTTTCCTTCTGGCTTGGGTCCAGTAAAGCATGGCGCCTTGAGATAGGTTCCATTTCCTTCTAGCTTGCACCGGGTAAAGTGTGTGGACTGTTAGGCTATATGGACATTCTATTTCCTTTCTGCTAGCCATCGATAAAGCTTGGCACTTTGAGATAGGTTCTGTTTCTTTTCAGTTAATGCCCAGTAAAGCGTGTTGAAATAGTTTGGCGTGTGATGCCCGAGTACATGACTTGTTTCCCTTATTTCGGAAGTGTAGTTGGAGTCGGGGTGGTCATGGGCTTGTCAAGCTTGCAAATTCTAGAGGAGTAGCAGAATTGCACATACCGGGGTTGGAGCCGTATGTGCGGTGAGGAGATGTTTTCAGAGGGTTGGGACTGAAATAATTACAGGTATAGAGGGCACGTGCAGAAGTGGGGGCTGCACGTGTGGCAAGAAGGGGTTTTCTAAGAGTGTCATTCTAAAATAACCATAAGTGCGGGTTAAGTGCCGCATGTGTTGTAGGGGTACACTTTGCATGTGTGGGGAGAGGCACGCACGGGAAAGGTGCTGAATCCAAATTTTTTTCTTTCCTTTCTCATTGGGCTGAGTGTATTTCCCCATTTTCTCATATCTCTCTTTCTCTAAAAACCCATTTCCTCATGCTTCTCTCTACAAACACCCAACAACCACATTAAACTCTTGATTTCTTCAAACCTATTGAAGATTTGGCCCAACCTCTTTCATTAATATTGGAGAGCTCCTCAAGGGCTATCTTATGTGCGGTGGAAATCGGGTTCTGACACCGTTAATTTTGGGCTTTTCGCACACTTTCTCTTCTAAATCTTGAGGTGGCATATCTACCTTATTTTGTTATGATTTTTAATGGAGGGTTTGAGGTTTGGATTGATGGGTTTTGGAAAGTGTTTAAAGATGATTTTTATGTATCTTGGTACAAATTAAATTGTTTTATGAACTTATGAACCTCTTGAAATTATATGGAAGGGTAATGTCTTGAAAACTGAGAAAAACCCTATTTTGATTAAACCCTAGATTTTTGGAAAGAATTTAGATAAATGGATTTTAGTGAGGCAATAATGAAATTGTGGAGATTTCTTTCAGAAAATAATGAGATTATCACATGTGGTTATGTTGTTGAGATATCCATGAGATGAATGGATGTTATTATTTGAAAATCTTGGATAGCATGAATATATATATATATATATATATATGTTTGGACTATGAAATGAAAATGAGTTTTGATTGTGAATATGAAATGGTGTCATATGTCACATGGATATATATTTTGGTCTTGATGTTGAGAATTATTGTAATGGTATGATGGAGATATACATATAGAATTGAATCTCATTTCATACATTTGCATAACTTTGAATATTATTATGATTGCTATGTTTGAAAATTTATCCATTTTACAAAACAATTGTTATACGTTTAGTAAGTCCGGATAGGGGGTGTAGTGAAATGTTTAAGTTGGTCCGAGTATCTAGGGTGAAAAACTGAAAATACGCGCGGAGGAGGTACCATGTGCCATCCGGTTAGGACCAGTAAAGCGGCAATTGGGTAGTGCTTGTTATGCCTACTTGCAGACACCATTCTAAGAATTATCTGAGTCATATTTACCACCTCGTATTTAAAGATTTGAATTTTACTGAGATGATGGAATTTCTTTAAAAGATCATTGCATATGATTTTCTCAACAAAACAAAACTTGTGGTTTTTAGTGCATAATATGGCATGGCATTGCATTTTATACATATATGAGACTGCTAAGCATATATACTTTGTTAAGATATCTCTACCGGGTTTTGTGCTCACCCCTAGTGGATTTGTGCAAGAAAGGATGTGGTGATTCCGCCTAGCTAAATGCGAGGAATATGTTTTGAGAGCATGAGGCTTTTTTATTTTTATTTTTTATGTGTGTACGTTTTGATAAGCCAAGGGTTGTAATTGTATGGATTTTTGGATAACAATATATATATATTTTTTTGTAACTGAGAACTTGTAGCTTTCAAGGCATTCATTTTGTGTTTCTCTTTTGTTTTCATTATTGCACAGCTACCGATTCACTCTTTTGAATTCTGAATTTGTATTGCATGTGGACTCCTTTTGTAAATCTCTCACATGATTGGAATACAAATATATATATTTGACCACTTGATTTGAGATTAGTGTAATTGAATGGTTTAATCAGATTTATCTTTATGTCATTTATTTGGGGGCGTTACAACTTGAAACCAGAATTATGAGATGTGATCTTGATTAGTTGTTACTTGCGTGATCGTGTTGAGACACGTGTATTTGTTGATATTGTCATAGAGGATTAATATGTGTTGTGTAATGTGATGAGAGTTAGGCTTGGTAGTAGCCGTAGATGTTGATTGTTGTCTTTTATTTATGAGATGACGAGATTTTTCGTACGTATATGGTTTTAAATTTGCAAATTGAAATAGGAAAGACTTTTAAGAAATTAAAGATAAATTGGAAAGATAAAAAATGGTTTTATTTCTTATTATGTTAAAGAGGATCTTTTGGAAAAATATACTTATGTATGTATATTTTGGTTATGAAAAGATAACATTATTTATGTATTTATCACTTGAGCATTCATGATCATACTTGTCTATAGAATACTATTGTTTAGAAATACTGAGATTTCTATTGGACATTAGTGTTCATCTCACGTTGTTGATAATTTTCAGGTGCAAGTTAGAGGAGTTACTCAAGGCTACAGAGTCTCTTATTGTTGGCCACGGGTCCTCATACTTGCAGGTGGGATGCTAATTTGTTGGAAAGAGGGTTAACACCTCTTATTTCATTGTGTTTTAATTTCTTCAATGTAAACCTAAGGGCATCAGTTGTAAACAATTGTATTTGGATATGTCATCATAGTATACACGAGAGAGCATTTATTGCTTATTTATTTATTATTGTTTCCGCTTTTATTATTATAAAATTGGACTTTAATCAGGAATTTGATAATGTATTTAGGTAATAAATTTCAGGACTTACAGTTTGGAAAATAGCTTTCGGAAATGGGTATAAGTGTAATAATGCGGTCTGAAAGTGTAATCAGACCGGTAAAACACTAGCTGATAATAGTATTTGGCGAGATTGCTTTGATAGGTACCCAGTGCATATTCCAGAGATTATCATGCTCTAATTTTAATATTATCATATTAATAATTGTTGTTGTTGTTGTTAATTATTATGAGTATTGTTTGTTGGGTAATGTTACCAAATAAATGACCAAATGTTTATTTGGTAGAAAATTTGGAGCCTATAGCATTTTATTTGTTTGTTAATATATATATATTATATTAAATGTTTTTGTAAAAGTTTGTGCATTGCATTTAGTTATTCTAGTTGTCATCAAAGCTATAATTTTTTCTTTAGATTTCATGATATTTGTTGATGCACTTTGGTCAGAGTAGGATGGGTTGGATTGATCCAAGCACTCCACAGGCAGACTGTTCTCCATCTTCCTAGCTACACCTGCAATAAGTTCAGTAGGAAGGTTCCTTCCTTTAGACCCTCTAACAAGTTAAAAGTGAATGGGGTCTTAATAATATTTTCTGAGAGAAGAGTTAGAGAGAGAGATTATTTGTTAATTAAGCGTTCTTCCTTATATCACTTGTTAATCATTCTTCTATCCCCTTCAGCTGTCGTGATGGCCGAAAGTCTATGGTCTACTTACCGTCGATCATGGTGGTTTCACCATGCCCTAGAGCGAGAGGTTTTGTTGCATTTAATGTCGTGGCAGCCTCATTTAATGCTTAGTGTATGAGTGCAATAATTTTGCAAGATCTTTTTCTACCACGTGGCTGGCCCGCTACCTGACATATGTCTAATTGATGTCTAGGCTTGGCCACTGTGAGTTCCCTATTGGGCTTCCTGTTGGGCCTGTTTTTGGCCACATGATGATAATTGATCAGTCCATGAGTTGGCCCCCCCTGGGCTATGCCCATTAGTAGTCCCTCATTCCTGAGCGTAGCTTTAGTCCAGCTAAGGGAATAAAATAAATGAACGGAGTCCCCCGAGCGAAGCAAACATGGCCGACCAGAAAGAATGGAATAAAATAAGTGAACGGAGTCCCCCGAGCCAAGCAAACATGGCCAACCAGAAAGAATGGATGAGTTGGAAGGTGGCTGACAAAGAGTGGCCGAACGAGTATAGCCGACTTGCAAGGTGAATGACTTAGAAGGTGGCTGACCAAGAATGGCCAACCTGCAAGGTGGACGACCTGGAAAGTGGCCGACCAGGAGTGGTCGACTGGGTATGGCCGACCTGCAAGGTGGCCGACTAAGAGTGGCTGACTGATAAGAGCACATTACCGGCGCACAAGGCTCGAGGAGCGGGGATGCACGTGATGATGTGATGTGAAATAGACGTGAGAGATGAAAGGGAATTAGTGGTGGAAATGAATAACCCTATCCATCAATGTGGAGAAATCTAGGCCGCTAATGGGGATTTTGAACCGTTTTAGAGGTGCAAAGTTACGATAGTGTGTGAATGCGAAATGGCTAATGCCTTAACTCATTCGCTTTTTGCTTTCCCTCCACACTTTGGCAAAATTTTCAAACTGGCAAACTTGAACTTTGATCCCTGGAATACAGGCAAATTGTGGACGTTTGCATTTGTACGTTTTACATACCTTATTGTAAAAAAATCGACACATACCAGACTTGACCGCTTTCATTTCGTGCGATTCTCCTATCTTTCACATTTTTAACTTCTTGGCTCCCACGACTGAAGCAATCACTAGAAACGTGAGAAAGATAGACTGAGAGCAAATTGCCACCCTGAGGACTGACGCACTAGGGGATGACGATGGGGTTACCTTGGCTAAGAAATACAAGGTGAAAAAAATGTTGAAGAAAGGAACCGGAAGGCCTCCTCGTCTGATACCGTCAACAATGATCTCTACCACGTAATCGATTAGCCAAGTGGCCCCTGATCACTGCGCATATGAAGGCCAACAACGCAACGTTGACGGTTAAGGATTTGGAGAAAATTTGAAACAAGTACCAAATCCCCAAAAACTTGGAGTTGAGGGCTCCGACAACGGGGGAAAGGGCGTTGAATGCAAGACCCATGGAGTTAACCCTCTACGAAAAGGCATTGTTCGGAAGGCTGAGGTTTCCACTCCTCCAATTGGTTGTGGACAAGTTGAATCGGATGGAGGTAATGCCAGGCCAGTTGGTGCCGAATGCACGGAGAATACTATTCGCCAGCGTGATCTTCTTGCCACAGGTGATCGGAGGGCTACGAATGACGGTCGACGAGTTCTTCTCGTGCTACAAGGCGTCGGGCCAACAGGAGACCTAGGTATCGCTGTAAGCGGTGCCAGACAAAGGATTGGTGGCTGGGCTCCCCTCGTCAGTTAAGGGGTGAAGAACAAAGTGGTTTTTTGTTTCAGAGAATGACGGGAGAGGGGTGAGGACAAGCTGGAAGATCCTCACCAGGTCAGTAGAGCCGAAGCTAACTGCAACGGAGGAGAGAGAAGTGAAGGAGGTAAGGCAATGTCTAGAGAAAGAGGGGCTTAGGTGGGATGATCTGGTTAAGCTTTCTGCTCTCTTTGCCGCTGGTTTGGGCCCTAAACATGCAGAAGGGGACCTCATCCTAGAGAAGGTTGAGGCCAAGAGGAAGGCCCAAGAGGTTGATGATCGCCAAGTGCTCGCTACATTAAAAAAACTGAAGGAGTAGAAGCTGGGCCCAACTCCCAAGCCATATATGCACATGGTCGCTTGTCAATGCCCTAAAGCCTTAGGGGAGCGTGACCTAGAAACTGTTGTGCCATTGAAGGCACCAATTGATCCGATCAAGGAAAGGAACAGAACTGAGATAGAGCAAGCAAAAAGGAAGAAGAGAAGCACTGCCAGGGGTGAGGTGGAAGGAAAAAAGGCAAAGAGGGCTAAAGAGAGAATGCCTAAGCCAAGGGCCGAGCCAACAGAGGAGGCAGAGATAGTTGCAGGCAAGGCCAGGAATGGTCGCTGAGAGAGGCGAGGCCAACCCCTCCATTGCAGAGTTAATGGACTTGAAGGAGGCATATGAGGGGAAAGTAGAGAAGCAAATGACTGGCTTGCCTTCAACAAAGGAGGCAGAGCAAAGGGTGGAAAAGGAGCACCGAGCCCTAGTGGGGACAAGTATAATGGGGAAGAGCTCTACCTTCGGAGTAGTGAGTATCATCACTCGTCATCTAAGTGCAATGGTTGGTCGCTCATTACCTGAAACGAGCGAGCCAGCCAGCATCTTGCACAACGCCATAACCACTGCTAAACGCCAATTGGGCACCATAGATGATGCGACCGTTAGGGATATTTCTCAATTTAGGGAGGCGAACCTTATGAGGGCGTTCTGCTCGGCCCAAATGGAGTAACTGACCTTGGTGGTTGCTCTACTAGGCAAATGAGCGGAAGACATTGGTGGCTACTCTGACGAAGATGGAGATTGAACTGCTGAAGGCCCAGTTAGAGAAAGCGGTCGTTGAGCTGGAAGTGGCCAGAATAGAGATTGTCAAGTGGCAAAAGGCGGCATGAAGTGCCTGCTCCAAAGGGCATGTGTATGAGTAATGTTTAAAAGGGATGTAAATGTTAGCCTTGGTGTAGGGACATGTAACCGACTGAGTGAAGAAAGACCAATCTGAAGCAGTGGCTGAACTGACTAGTGTCAAGGCTCAGTTAGGCCAGGAGAAACGCAAACTAGAGGGCGCTCGCCAAAGAGCGGGGTCACTAGAGGCTGAAATGGCAAGTGAGCGAAAGAAAGTGTTGGACGCCCAGCAGGCCTGTGTTATAGCGAACGAAAGGCTAGAAGAGGCTCTGACCAACAATGAAGAGCTAGGTGAGTCGTCTCTGAAGAAGAAAGAAGAAGCTGACGCACGAGTTGCTAAGTTGGAGAGGGTATTCACCGCAGAGACAAAGGCTCTTGAAAAGGAGAGGAGCAAAGCTGCAGAGTTGGCCAAGGCGATAGTATCTGAAAAAGTGGCTTACCTCGATCTCTACGCCGCAGTAGTGGAACAATTCAAGTAGTCTACTGAAGTCCAAATAGCAATAGATGCTGTTGTGGTGTCAAGCCTGTCCAGAGAGAGGGGAGCTGAAGCTGGTCCATCAGGCTCGAGGGCGGCCAATTAGGTGGAGGGGCAAATAAAAGCGAAGATAATCCAGAACTTCCAATAGTCCGACTATTACAAGCACTTGCTGAGCGAGTATTAGGATAGCGGTTGGGTGAGGTTTAAGCAAAGAACGTAGACAGCCTTCCCAGACATTGACTTTACTGCTGTGAAGTCAGGAGAGGAAGACATTGTCGGTACGCCGCTAAATGAGGGGGTTGTAGACACCCCATTTTTGACCGCCCTTAAGACTTGGGCACTACTGATGGTTTACTTGGTGGAGAAAGGTGTGCAAGGCAAAGGTTCAGTTTCTTCAACAAGGAGAATGTCAAATCTCAACTTCACACTCCTTTTGGACCAAAACAATCTTGATCAAAATATTTTGGACCTTGAAACCCTCTCTTTCAAAATGTTTTGAAAATAAAGTTCCTACGATGTTCCGGCGCTCGCATTTCGTTAAATGTTGCGCTTTTTGGTAAACCGAGCAAGGACAAAGTAGAAATGAATGAAAGAGAGATGAGATCCTTGAAAAATCTTTCAAAACACCTTACTTAGGGGTTTGGAGTTGAAGAAGAGAAGAGAAGGGGGAAGAAACTCAGTTGGGGGAGAAAATGGGCATGAACCGTTAAGAGAGTGACGAGCAGTCCTCGCTGAATCAGGCTTATTCATTTGCATACTTGGATTTCAGCTATGAGGCCATCACCATTAGAAATCTTACTTCTGGGGCTTCATTTTTCACTCAAGAATATCTTAAAGCCACGTCCGGACGGGGGAGATATGGTTGATTGAAGTAGGGCATCGCTCCGGTTGGACCGAATC